CCCCAAAACCCCAAAACCCCAAAACCCCAAAACCCCTTTGGATTGTGTTTAATTGAGTAATTTCTAGAATAATGTCTATGCTTGCCTATCTTTGGCTACTTCTGTTCTTGTTGCTGCTTTTGTGGTGGATGTGGGGGCTGATGTGGTGGTGGAGGAGGATGAGCATATGGATGAGGGGGATATCCATATGGAGGATATGGCATCTGGTAGTTAAGAGGATAACCTCCTGCAGGTGGAGGCCCATATTGTGGTGGATAAGCCCCTCCAGGATGTCCATATGGATGGGGATGCCCCATCTGATTCGGACCCGGACCATACCCTCCAGCCATTGGTGGAGGTGGTGGCCCATGCATCGATGGGTGAGCAGCATGCATTGGTGGCCTTGCTGCAGGCTGACCATTTGGAGCAGGAGGGTGGCTCGGAGGTACTGGAGGTTGAGCAGGAGCTGTAGAGCCTGGAGGTGGTGGAGGCATTGCTCTTGGTGCAGCTGTGTTTGCACCGTTTGGGTGAGCATTGTTTGAGTTGACAAAGTGATCGTAAAAGTCGAGAGCTTCTCTTTCAAGGAGTTTACCGTAGCTGTCTTTGTAATGTCTGCTGAGATCTTTGAGAGGATCGACAGAGGCAGCAGGGTGTTTTGGACCATTCAAAGCCACATGTCTATCTTCATTCCGAATTGCCACTACTCTATCTTTATTTTCATCATCATCTCGGTCTTCTTTACTGAAAACTTTTGCTTTCTGTTTTACATCCTTTGGTAAAATTCCTGGTTCTTCTTTTTCAATTTTACTAAATACTTTTTTAGCTGCATCTGAAAAGGCTGAATCTTTCTTGACTTCCTCTTCAATTTTACCATTTTCTAACTGCTCCTTTCTTTCTTCTTTCTTTTTATGAAAGTTTAAAAGAAAATCATCCAAAGCTTGTTCATCATCCACATCATTATCAAATCCAGCGTTTTTCATTGGACAATCTCTGGTTGGATGCGTTTTCTGACCACAGATCTCACATATAATCTCAACTTTCTTCCATGAATTGATCTTATTAGGACATTCAAACCGTCTATGACCTTTCTCTCCGCAGTCTTCGCACCAGTCATCTCTCAAAGTTCCTCTAATAGCTGCGATCTCAATGAGTTGGTTCTTCTTAACATCAGAGCTTGGATCTAATAATTCATTAATAAGTCTCACTCCAACCGCAAGGTCTTCTTCATTCTGGGATTCTACGCTGACATGGAGTGGCTCTCTTTCATCATTCTCTTTTCTATTATAAATACGGCTTTTCGTATTGGCTCCCTTTCCTCTGATGAAAATCTTACATTTACTCCTCTTCTCTAAATCCTTGTGGGTTTTTCCACCAGGACCGATGATAAGGCCGACCATGGGAGATTCACCTGTTTCTCCATCCGGAAGAGGAATCTTCTTCTTTTTCACTGGAGGAATGTAATCCGCAGGGGCTATAAAGTTTTTATCAAGTCTGAGTAAAGCCTCAATTACAAAACTCTTTTCACGGGTGTATTTATCTCTAGCTCTTTGCTCCCTTGTGTTCACTTGTTTCCCCGTGTGTGGATCAAACGCTGATTCCGGTGAAGGAGACCTTAAATCAGGATCGTTAATTTCAAAATCACCTACTGCAAGTCTTTTCTGAAGATCCTCAAGTCTATGTCTCAGAATAAGAATTTCTATCTCTGTAGTGGTCTTGTTCTTGGGTAGGTAACAGAAAGGCATTGGTGTAAAGATTTTCTCATCTGGCTCATTGAATCCCATATTTTCTCCCTTTTTCTGATTATCCCATCTTGATTTGAATGCTGCTTTCTTGTTTCTCTTCCTATATAAAATGATGAAATCTTGTCATAAAAATTTGAACAATTGTCCTTATTGTAAAAACATCTACATTAAGGTGATAAACCCGCTTTGGGCTTAATTAGTTCATCTATGAGAAAGTTATGATAAATATATTACTTACTTCTTAGACCCTTTCTTATCAGGAGGGGCTGGCATTGGCACTTCTGGTGCTTCCATAGCAATTGCTCCACTCATTTCTAGGTAGTGAAATTAAATAATATTATAAGGATTCCAATAATTTAACTCTAAAAAGGGGTTTTGGGGTTTTGGGGTTTTGGGGTTTTGGGG